TTTTTTTTTCCAATTTCGTGCGATTTCGCCCATACCCCCCCAACCAAAAGTTGATCTTTTTCATTTTTCTTTTGTGTGGGGGGGTGGGGCCGGGGATGCGCCGCCACGTGGCATCTTCCGCATTTTGAAAGTCACTCCGCAGCAGCCGCCACATGTCTTCAAAGCCGCACGGACACGTCCACGGGCTCGCGGCCTAGACCGCGTCCACGAACTTGGCCGCGGTTGTCCGCCGCCGAGGGGATTCATAGGAATGTCCTCTTTAGTGGCCGTTGATAATTTCTCCAAGTGGATCGACCCCTATCCAATGACTAGTCAGAACTCGTTGAAGTAACCTGTTATATTAAGCGCTTCCTATGCATGCGCCTGGATGTAGAGGAAGTGCACATGGACAACTGATCCTTAATTCCAGGGGGAAGTGGAGCAACATCTCGTAAGGGCGGACGTTAGGATTTCGTACTGACCGGGGACTGGCCACAGGCTAATGGGCTAGTAGAAAACGCCCACCGAATGATTAATACTGCCCTTGAACTAAATATTACCGCAGGAGATACCAGACCCTGGCCCGTCATATTTGACCACATCTTGGTAGTCTATCCGGCTATCCCCCACATCAGTACCAGGGCGTCCCCATTCCAGTTGAGGACCAACAGTGTCCCCCAGGTCCAGCCGTCACCTCTAGTAGGTACGGAAGTTACCAAGGCTTAACACAGGGACAAGGCTCAGCATTACATGGACTTGATGGCTGGGACCTACCCCACGTTGGCCCGAAGGCAACAGAGGGCTTTGGATCTGACACATCAACAGTAGATCTGGGATTATGAGGACCGACATGCATTGGCGGGCCTGCTGCCCCACTATAAAGTTGGGGATCTGGTGCAGGTACAGAAATCTGCGCGCTCCTCCAAGATCCATCCTCGTTACACTGGCATTTACAAGGTCACGGAAGTTGGCGCACAAGGCTAACACTCCGTGAAACTGAGACACAACATGCAGGCTAGGCCGCTGACTCGCCACACTGCTGCACTTCATCCGTTTCGGCCATCGCTACACAACAATAGAACCCTTGTCCCATCCCGGACATCCCCTTCTTCCTCCTCATCCTCCCCTGCTTCCTCTTCCTCTCTCCAATCTGCCTCGCAATTCCCTACTGAAGTCTTGATCACATAGGATGAGCCATCGCAACCAGGAGCATGAGCCGATTGAGCATTTCCAAACACCAATAGCGGAGCATATCCGCTACGGAACCAGTTTAACGACGACCAGCAGATACGCTATGACATCCACCAAGTAAACCGGGGCCGAGTATCATGGATCTTGCGATGTACCCACTCTCATGCGATCAGCTGACGTACGTAGGGCTGTATGTGGATGAGACGCAAGGACATCTGGCAAGTAAATGTATCAGGGCCGAGATATTGTGACGTACTCTCTTATGCTATCAGCTGACGTTCGTAGGGGTGTACGTGGATGTGACGCACCTTCCCCACAGGGAATCGACACAAGTGTTTATCGAGTTTCATGCACAACGAGTGGCAGCACAAAGTGCCGCCACGTTTATAGGCGATTTGACACTCTTGGCGAAGTGCGTACGCAAGCTGGTGAGGAAGTTCTTGTGGCAGTACAGACTGCAGGTAGCTCAATCAGTGGTGCGGGTTCAAGGATGCATGGGCCATCGCTTCACTGCCTATGAGTCATTACTTCGAAGGCACCCAGGCGGACACCTGGCTTTAGTTCCGCAGTTGCTTGTGCTTCTCCCCCCCCCTGAACCATTTAACATCCAAGCTATCCCACCCCCATACAAAATGCCTCCCTTCTCTTACACCGCCCATCCTCACCAACGCACAGCCCCTATCCTATGCGTCACTTCTCCGAGTACCTGGTGGAGCTGGTCGACGTGGAGGCGTTACCATTTGCAGACAAAGAAGCGTAGGAGTTATATCTGGCACTATACAGGTCTGTGGTGCTGGGCATGTCCCGGTTCTACGTTGAGCACAAGAAGTGTATCGTCTGTGAGCAATTGCTAATGTACTACGTAATAACAAAGCCCAAGTCGGAGCAAAAGCAAGGAACGGTGGCATTGTATCCGTTTGGGAAGATCCGAACGGATAAGCCATGGTTTTTGGAGCTCGTTCACATGGAGCTGTTGTCGATCACGCAGCTGATCGCCACCGAGGAAGGTGACCTCCAGGTCCAGCTGCGGGTGACAGCAGCTCCGATAAGCATATATCACGCGATTGTCATACCAGATTACCTTCCAGAAGGGGAAGAAAGAGTACTTGCACCTTTCACCCCCCCTCGTCTTACACACGGCCTCCTCCCCTAAGGGCGCCAAAGAAGATTAATAGAAAGCAACATCGGCAGCCATCGCCAGAAGCGCAAGGAGTCGAGCGGGACCAGGGGAAAAAGTAATCCAGCTAGTACTTGCACGAAAGCCAATCCCACGCCTGACAGTCGGGACACGCTGATCGTCGGACCCCCGCCTGGGGAAGGAGCCGAAGTGACCGGGCCTCAAACACGAACAGGCCACCTGGAGCCGACACCACTGCCCATCCTCCCCGATCTCAATCTTGATGGAGCAAGGCCCTCAACACCAGCAGGAGTGTGACGCATGCCATATTCCACATCCCGACCCCCCATCCTCGCAGGACCATTCCACTTCCATCAGCCCATCAGGAGTACCGCAATCATTGATGTTAATAGTGTTTCCGATCAGGAGCATCCCCATCAATGATCCGGCTCGAGGCGATCCTCGCACCCTGATCCTGCATGAGTGCCATTTTTGCAGCCATTGTTCGAGCATGGCAGCCAGCTTGGCAGGGACCGTCATCTACGAGGCTGGGTGGTGACAAAATGCTATGTATCACTTCGTCAGGCATTGCTTAGACGGGAGCGGCGCTCGTACACAGACTCATCTGGTGATGACAGGAGAGATGAATCGTAGTGTGCAACGCAGATCATTCGGCTATTGAGGATCTGTTGCAACATGTATTATCACACGTGCCAAGGGCTTTTCTCTACCCCTCCTTCCAACATTACTTCAATGAAGTGGAAGCACCAGCGATCCCGGTGGCTGCACTAGCAGCTTCCCTTCCCTCTCTACCCCTCCGTCCAACATTACTTCAATGAAGTGGAAGCACCAGCGCCCCCGGCGGCTGCACTAGCAGCTTCCCTTCCCCCGCTCCCTCACTCGCTCAATCCTGAAATCGATCATTTCCTCTATACCTTCACTCCTATGTCACCTTCTTCTGCTTGATCAGACAGGTTGCATGTTAACACGCGCTGTGAAAAAAAATAAAAAAAAATTGCTTGATTACCAATCCGGCCAGTTGATGACGGAGTGGCCACCAATCGCATGCCCGATCACGTTTATACTATAATGACAGATTGACAATGGTGCGAAATGCACCGAGAGTAGATGAAGATGATATGGGCCGGCTGACGATGAAGGGGCCACCCAGATCCTCAGATTAGTTTGGACAAGTAAACCCCCCCTTCCACATCACAGATGTGATAAGCCAAGATCCATACTCAGCGGCGTTTTGGACCCTCAAGGGGAAAATCCCAAATATGCCCAAACGGGTTCCATTTTCTTTTTCTTTTCTTTCGGTACAACTGCCCCTGATGACTTTTTTGCACGGACACCTAGCAACCACACCAAGAAATCCAATAAACGGTTGAGAATTAGTGCAAGCGGGAATTTTACTTCCTTGCATGACAACACACAAGGCTATTTTTCAAATTTCTTGCACACCAGGTAAACCCATTCCCCCGATTTGCATACCCGCACCATATTACCTTCTTGCTCCGCACCCCCCTTCTGTATGCCTCTTCATCTTCCTGCGCGCAAAGCGCGATCCTCTCCTTACCCATCATCGTGAGCGATTGGCTGCATAGTTGGGATGGTCGGATCAATGCGGTGAAAGCGGAAAGCACACACCGCTTTCTTCACACCTTTTCCAACCCCCCTGGAGCCTTGGCCTTTCTGTCCAACTCATCTACACCCCTTGCTATCCGCACATCCACTGGCAACCCACCCCCCTCCGCACTATAAATTATCAGTCCCTTCTCTCCTCTTTAATCTCGACCACAACGTTGTGCAAGCTATGCGCGAGGTCCACGATGTCGAATTTGTTTGACATGCCCAAGTGATGGGAGTGACGACATGGGACAGGCTTAACGGTGGACTTGAGGGTAAGGCATTCAGGGTGATCGAGCAGTGGTGGAGATCGGACAGCACGGCCTTGTGGCTATGGTCGTCGGTGGTTCCAGTGGATTTTGGACTCTGCCCAGCACGACCAGCCGTGTGAGCATTTTGAATAGGAAGAAAGTCGATTTTATCTCCATTGCTGCTTTGTCCAAGTGTGATGTGTGCAAGGTCCCGAAGTATGGGTATTCTGTTGTATGCATGATATGGTGCAAGAGTCTATGGATGCTATGTCTCACTGTCCAAGATAGACGGATGAGCAGATGTGTGGGCACAGGCAATTCTGGGGAACGCCGGGTGTCGGGGTTCAACCAAGGGCTGGTTATACCCAGTGATCCCCTTTCACAACGAGCTCAAGTCTTCACAGCGCTCTTCACTACCGAGTGTCCTCACCAGCGAGCAACTTCCGAGCGACAAACAAAAACTGTGGTTCTCGGAAGACCTGGTGCATCAACAACCATCAACCAAGCATCAACCATTCTGGCACAAGCGTCAGGATGCACGGCTATAGACAGTGAATAGGTAGGGTTTCCAAGTCAGGCAGCAATGGCTGAGGGGTGACCTTAGCTATGCTATTTTCAGTTGCTATGAGACAATTACAGGACGATGGACCCAGTTTCAAAAGCACAGACACGCTAGGTAATGACCCCAGTTCACCCGGCAAAACTGTGCAAGTCACGATGATGGAACGCTGGACCCGGCTTCCAGCTCAGCCAAAGCTGGATGATGGCCCCACTTCACCGATTAAAATTGTGGGGTCCCCGGCCCCGAAACTTCCATCGAAAACGCAATAATCTCCGTTTAAAAAAAGACAAGGGCGAAAGACAATATCCGTCAGAAAAGGTGCTCCACGTGGGGTTAGACGGGGATGCGTTCTGCAGGCTTATACCCTCGAACAATGCGATGCATCGCAGGTAAGGCCCACATCACTGTGAAGCCACTTTCAGGGAAGGTTCACAATAATGCTTTCCAACTGCCAGGTATCAGATATCAAAAGGAGTGGAGGAACACCGCTTAAAGGTCCCTCGCATATAGATTACGCACTACCGCATAGAGAATAACGAATACAGTAATAGTCGCTATGACTTCCTACATGGATACACGAATTAAATAGCCACTTAGTCGCTATTACTTAGACACGGCAACGCAAATCTGACCCTAAGATTCCCCTCGGCAGCTCGGAGATCTCATGCGCCTCTCAGGCCAGTTTCCTAACCTCTAAAAGTTCACACTAGGTTAGACTTCCTCGTCCCAGGAAAAGCAGAACACAGGCCTGATGGCTGTAGCAACATCGCTGCAGATATTCAAAACGTCCTAAGACGATGTCGACAGTAACATCAAACATGCCCGTGTCTGTAGCAATTCACACCGCCAACCTGTACGAAACCACTCGAGTGCTCCACCCTCTCAGGTGGCACGTCTCAACGCGCATGCAGACACCTGCACGGACTTCACTCAGAAGTATCACCACCACTCTCTAAAATATAACTTTTTCCCTCAAACAGAAAATAGGCTTTTACGTAATCCTCCTACTTCCCGCCCTGGAATAACACACTACATCACATTTCTCACAGTATACGAGGCGCTGCACTTATCTGCAGTTTCGGGAATCTACACTCAAAATCAGGATACTTAATATTCACCGGAGTCAACACGTGAGAGGATACTTCAACTGACACAGACAACAACTCAACTGACACAGACAACAACTCAACAAGACATCAAGGATTTCCATCTTTTTCCTTCAATGCAGATCTAACGAGGCAATTCCAGCTTCCCATATTACTCGTTCCTTCGTTCCACTCCACCGACCAATCGACGGGTTTAGAACAACAATCACCAGTGTCAATAAGTAACACGCGTACAAAATTTCCCTTTACAACATACTTCTACCATAGCGATGTGACATGTTTTTCAAAAGCATTACGGAGAAAGGCGGGCCTGATAGAAGACTACATGCAACCACCACAGGGTAAACTTACGTGAACCAACTACGTGAACCGACTATCTAGCCATGATCCTAGTCTAATACCTTTCCAACGAGGCAGCGGAGTCCTACCAGAACGTCGAGATTCCTGCTCCACAGTTCGTCTCGCCTTAATTTCGCGAAAGGCTTCAACGTCCATACTAGGCCCACCCCCACTCAACAGCGACTGTTAGGTGAATAGAGATGAAAGCGTTCTAAGGCCAGTTGAGTCAACGGCCCACGATCGTATTCAAGACTGATGAAAAACAGCCTACAACGTCGGGTCACGCACGCACAGCCAGTTCAGGAAGCAAAAGACTGAACGACTTCAACTACAACGTACGCGCATTTCTGCAGTATCTAAACTCAGACTCACCCCAAATACAGCTATAGTTACCAGACGTCGTATTCTGCTGAAGACTGGTCGGTCTGAAACGGAGAACGAGGTCTGGCAGCTGCACATAGATTTGACACAACCAGTCAGAACGGCATATCGCCAACCAGGTGAGGAGAAATCAATCGAGAAAGAGTTAAACCATGCGAAGACAATTAGACAGGAGAAAACCAAGCAGACCCGGAAAGCGTCTGAGCAGATCTCGGACAACACAACGCGTCAAATCAGACGACGAAAAACGACCTCATGAAATGTCCTCGCCAAACAAGAGCCAAACGTGATACAACAGCCAGCTGTCAACCCAGCCAGACAGCATGGCACAGGCATTAACACAGCCATTCACTGTCATGAAAATTGATAGAACACGAGCTGCGCTTCTACACTAACGACACTATTGAAGACAATAATAAGGCACGTCGAACCAGCACTGAACTCGGATCAGCCAGACAGCATGGCACAGGCATTAATACAGCCATTCACTGTCATGAAAATTGATAGAACACGAGCTGCGCTTCTACACTAACGACACTATTAAAGACAATAATAAGGCACGTCGAACCAGCACTGAACTCGGATCAACATCGGCCAGTACACTCCGGAATCTGACGGCAGTCGAGAGCCAGGTTCACAACCAGATCAAGAAAAAGCCAATGGCCAGATTCCGAGACAGACACCCGAATTGAACAAACGACAAAAACAGGAATCTGAGCACGGACAGACACAGGTCAAGAAGCAGCCTTACCGACACAAAAGAAGAGCGAAACTAGCCGAACGACTTACGAAGTACAATGTAAATCCAAAACAAATTTCACGACAGACGCAGCTCTGACGAGCCAGAGTAACACATTAACGTGCAACCTCCATTGCCCACAGGCGGACGAGTACCTGATTCACACCCTTCCAATCCACAAACACAGCCAGAAACCGAATCGAGGTCGGCAATGGCCAAAGTACACATTGAAATAATCGAACAAGAGCAATAGACTCTGCAAGGACAGCCAAACCATGGTTCAAACCACTCTTAGGGACGACTCCGCCAAACAAGGTACCAGCCTTGTCACATCGGTACATTCCAGAAACAGACTCCACAAATAGCGCAAGGCACGGAGACAAAACTTTCGGCCAAATACAGACCATGACAACCGGAACGTAGACGGAGAATCCAAATGCCGACAAACCAGGTTAGTCGACAACAAAATTTTAGTTACTCTGCAAAGACAAGTGGAACGGATTTACGCGAAAAGGGCGATCTAAATGGAATTACCGAACGGAGAGCAAACGTGGCGAGGGATGCCAATAAGAGTGGAATCATCGCGAGTGCTAGAAACTCGCGCCAGCAACAGATTTGAAATGAAAAACGTACAGACCTACACAAGGAACTGGGGAATTACAAAATACCACTCAAACAGCACAAGTAAACCGAACTTCTCCCGAAATGACAAGCATTACTGGGTGCACGTAGCACACAGCCAAGAAAAAGGACTCGTCAAATTCATGGGGATAGGGGCCCTCATGTCCTACACGTCAGTTATGAGAATGTTGACAATGCCTACGTACGTGATGACAAAAAACTTGTGCCAAGAGATTTGAAATAAAAAACGTAGAGGCGTACACAGAACTGGGGAATTACAAAATACCACTCGAACAGCACAAACAAACCGAATTCATCCCGGAATTTTAATCATTACTGGTGTGCGCGTAGCGCTCAGCCAAGAGAAGGACTCGTTCAAATTCATGGGGATAAGACCCTAATGTCCTACGCGTCAGTTCTGAGAATCTTGACAATGCCTACGTACGTAATGACAAGAAACTGGTCCCAACAACAGATTTGAAATGAAAAACGTAGAGGCCTACACAAGGAACTGGGGAGTTACAAAATACCACTCAAACAGCACAAATATCCCGAAATGATAAACATCACTAGTGTGCGCCTAGCGCACAGCCAACAAGGACTCGTTCAAATTCATGGGGATTCGGAGCCTGATGTCCTACGCGTCAGTTATGAGAATCTCGACAGTACCTACGTAAGTAATGACAAAGTTCAACGAGAACGCAATGCACACGTAACTGGAGCAGTCGTCCATTACCAAGCCTTCCAACGTGCTATGGATAGAGAAGGGTTTTACTGTGAAATGAGATTAGGACAGCACCGACGAGAAAACGAGAATGTCATGCACGTTCAAATCAAGCAGTCACATTATCAATCCTTTCGACGGGCTGGTAATCAATCCTTTAGACATGCTGGGAATCACTCCTTTCGACGTGCTGGGAATTGAGAAGTAAAGTACGCACCGGCTAGAAAATACGGCTAAGTTCCAGAACCCCTCACCGTCCAAAACTGAACAACACTCATTGTACCAAGGCAACCCAACTACTGTGGCTTTAAAATTGCTTACCTGTCATATTCCAATTGCATCTCATCAGCTTAACAACGGAATTGTGCAGATCCGGCCTCTGTGCAGGCCTAGTGTATATACATAACACAACGCAGACTCCCCCCCCACCAAGCCGGAACGACTAAAACACGCAAACACAATCTCCCTACTACCCTCAAATTCTACGGTCACGGTCAGCTACAACACTGCTTCGTCCGGTCGATAACAAATGCGTTATCACTTCAAACCTCGTGCGCAAAAACCAAGCAACCCCTCCTGCAGCCACGTCCAGTTATCTCAAACCAATAAGAAATAATGCCAACCAGCCACGTTGTCATTGCTTAGGCCTCCTCTCCCTCCTCTTCCTCGAACTCGCCTTCCTCTTCTGCACTCGCATCCTGATATTGCTGATACTCCGAGACAAGATCATTCATGTTGCTCTCCGCCTCGGTGAACTCCATCTCGTCCATTCCCTCCCCGGTGTACCAATGCAAGAAGGCCTTCCGCCGGAACATRGCGGTAAACTGCTCACTCACTCTCTTGAACATCTCCTGGATGGACGTCGAGTTGCCGACGAAYGTCGACGACATCTTCAAGCCCTTCGGCGGAATGTCACAGACACTGGACTTCACATTGTTAGGAATCCACTCGACGAAGTAGGACGAGTTCTTGTTCTGCACGTTRATCATCTGCTCATCKACTTCCTTCGTGCTCATCCGTCCTCGGAACATCGCCGACGCGGTCAAATATCGCCCATGTCGCGGATCAGCAGCACACATCATATTCTTGGCATCCCACATCTGCTGYGTCAATTCGGGCACGGTCAARGCGCGGTATTGTTGAGAGCCTCTCGACGTAAGAGGAGCAAAGCCGACCATGAAAAAGTGGAGTCGAGGGAAGGGGATCAGATTGACAGCGAGCTTCCGTAGATCCGAGTTCAATTGCCCAGGAAATCGAAGACAGCACGTGACACCGCTCATAGTCGCGGATATCAAATGATTCAAATCACCGACTGCCATAGGTTCAACAACACACACATAAAAATGCCACGTAAGTTAACGCGCCATTGCATCACGATTCGTAATCAAGTAACGTTTTCAGTTCACGCATTACGCAACGCAGAACAGAAATCACAATGCCACATCAGTTCACACTCCAACGCATCATGGTTCCACATCAAAACACCGATTTCGGTTCACACACCAAACACACCCGACCACATCCAGGACGAATCGCGCAATACAACAAACACTTACATTCACATTACGTATAAACTACTACCAAGATACGAATTACAATTTGCAATCTAGACGCCCTGCCCCAAACGAAAACCTTTTCAGCTCCTTACCTTCCTGCTCTTCACGTGCCAACAAACATCGATCTCAAATTTTTCCAAACATCTTAATTGGGCAATCTTTCCAAACAAGAAGCGACACTGCAACCCCAAAAAAGACGACCAGAGAAAAACCCCTCGAAACAATACTTACAGGTTGGTGTCGTCAATTTCAAGGTACGAAAGCAAATGTCATAAAGAGCCTCATTGTCCAACACCATACACTCGTCCGCATTTTCAACAAGCTGATGAACAGACAACGTCGCGTTGTAGGGCTCCACCACAGTATCAGACACCTTGGGCGAAGGGAAAACTGAAAAAGTCAACATCATCCTGTCTGGATACTCCTCACGAATCTTCGATATCAAAAGCGTGCCCATTCCCGAGCCTGTTCCACCACCGAGAGAGTGGCAAACCTGAAATCCTGTAAAAGAGAAAACCACGAACAAATCGATTACCACCCGATGTTAGGTAGAAACGAAGAGCAACAAATACTATAAATCAATACTAAAAACCGACCTCCCGTACCACTATTCCAATCGGCAACTCATTCTGGGCGTTCTAAAAAGGGACCCACCAATTCCGTAGCCCAACCCCAATCACTTGTTTTCCTAGGATTAGGGTTGAAACACAAAAAACGTAATGGAGACAGCTACAAACATGGTTACAAAAGACCAAAGACTGACAACGGGGACAGCTGTGAGCGCCCCGACTCATCTTCTCTATCTCGCGCTGTGGGCGCCCCGACTCATCTTCTCTATCTCGCGCCGTTCCTCATTAACGTCTCATACCGAATATTAGGTCAAAATAAATACGACAAATTTCGCCGCGGGCGCGCACATAGAACACATTTCGAAAATTGAAGAAAACACTAATAGCGCATTCACTACCGCCGCTGCGCATCCAGCTCTTTAACTGCTGCGTGCAGAAGGGACAGCAAGGACAGAAGCACCGAATACAACAAAACCCGCGCATTCACTACCGCCAATGTACAAATGCCACGTGAAAACACTAATCGCATTCACTACCGCCGCTGAGCATCCAGCTCTTTGACTGCCATTCGTGCAGAAGGGACAGCAAGGACAGAGGCACCGAATACAACAAAACCCGCGCATTCACTACCGCCAATCTACAAATGCCACGTGAAAACACTAATAGCGCATTCACTACCGCCGCTGCGCATCCAGCTCTTTGACTGCCAAGCGTGCAGAAGGGACAGCAAGGACAGAAGCACCGAATACAACAAAACCCGCGCATTCACTACCGCCAATGTGCAAATGCCACGTACGCAGGATAGATCACAAATGCACGCCGCTCGACATAGTGCGGGAAAAAAGCTCAGCTTACCATCGTAAGCTCGTCCCACAAGTACATCCGAAGCGGACCTCATCAGGAACACCTACCATAAATAAACGAGGCATCACACCTACACCCCTGCAGCCACTGACGGCCGCAAAGGTATGACACTAGGAGGGAAGCTCCTCTACACACGGCAGTCTCCATACAATTAAAACTTCAAAATACAACCGGCTAGGGAAACATTGCCAAGACTCGAATCCTGACGAGTACTAGGGAAACATAGCCGAGACACGAATCCTGACGAGTGCATCTCAATGACACAATGTTACAAAACTGCAACTAGATGCCAATGCGTACCGTACTCACAACGTATGGAACGCTACTACGACACCACAGTATGCTTTGCATAAAGCGCTCAAACATCACGCAAAAACATCCACGACACCAGACGACCGCTGCTTCCATCTGCGAATCATCGACATCGACCGAGCGCCGCATATATAGTCCACCGTCTCACCGTATTGCACAGAAAACGTACTCTAATCGTTCCCCACACGACATTTCACTGAGAGCATTGAGTTTTCTTAAGAACGCAAACATTCAGTGCAAAGAATGGTAAGCTTCAAACCTTGTAAGCAATCGCAGCTCTCCGCCTCCTTCCGCACGACGTCCAGGACCGAATCAATCAGCTCAGCACCTTCCGTGTAATGACCCTTCGCCCAGTTGTTTCCCGCCCCAGTTTGGCCAAACACGAAGTTATCTGGCCTGAAAATCTGGCCAAACGGCCCAGACCTTACGCTATCCATAGTTCCAGGTTCAAGATCCATCAGGACAGCGCGAGGAACATACCTCCCACCACTCGCTTCGTTATAGTAGACATTAATACGCTCGAGCTGTAAGTCAGAATCGCCATGATAGGTTCCCGTAGGGTCGATGCCATGCTCATCGCATACGACTTCCCAAAACTTCGCGCCGATCTGGTTACCGCACTGCCCCCCCTGGATATGGAGAATCTCACGCATCTTGAATTACTGCAACGATCTTCCGCAATCAAGACCGCGGGCACAGGAGAAACCGGAGGGGCAACGTGACGCCTGTATCCCCCCGACCGATGCACGCACAAAGCTAGAGAGAAGAGAAACAACGGCACAGCAACAGCGCTGCTGTAGTTCTAACGGGCTATGGCGGACACCAGGAAAAGGAGAACAATGGAGCTGACGGGGGCGGGCGAGGGCTACAGACACAAATGGACCAGCCAGCCCGATGATAAAGCTTCCCGCACGGCAAACACCCTCACCTCTGCCTCAATTGCGCGGGAGAACCAGATGAGCTCACACTAGAGGCCTCAGCGTGAACCGACCGAAAACGTCAAAACGCGCCTCGTGATAATCCTTATGCGCCCGTCCGCTATATACTGGAACCCAACCGCATCCTCCAGGACGGAGAGGGCGGATGTTCGATAACCGGTCGCCGTCAGAACTAAATGCGGCGGAGCACCTATAAATGGACAATTCCAAGATGGCAGACAGCATCTATAGAGCATCGCCTCACCACTCTCGAAATGTGCAAAATGAGAACGAACTTGCCTCTAGAACATTGGCAGATGCGCGGGCCATAGTTTTGTCTTTTTCACATTTCGAGAGTGGTGTGGCGAGGCCCATACTCCCGTTCAGGAATGAACGATCGATCCGATTGCCCCGCGCGACCGGTCCGTCAATGACCGACCGTCAAGGACCCAACCCAGCCAATCCACGTCCGTCCAAATTTCAAATTTGTCCGGTCACAACCTCACCCTCCGAATCTGGCTCGAAATGCGACCGAGTAGTAGCCCATCGTGCAGGAATAGGGCGGTGTAGCACGATTATGACGACAAGTGATATAAGAGATCCTGCTCGGCCGTAGATTGATACCGATCGACGGTTTCTGCCTCATTTTGTTGCGCTGAGACGACGCGCAAAGGGCGGGACGCATGAAGCGGGATTGGAAGGAAATAGGAAACATTGTGACTATATATATATACATATATATATATATATACAGGCACACTAAAGAATTCAATTTGAAAACTTGCCCCTGAGAGACACTCCATCGGTTACGGAACGCGCCCATCTGAAGCCAGTCTGCTACTTCGAAACCGTCCAATATTCCATCTGAAGGTAAGGATCCTCTCCTGCACTGACCTTCTTCAGCATAACGACCATCAGGGCCTGAGACCAGCCCAACCAATCCAAGTACCTGTCAAATATTGTTTTTTCTCCTTCTTTATAAATCCAGCGGCCTAGCTGAGTTGGTAAGGCCCGCAAGTGGCTTACCAACTTGCACCTAGAAATAGCCCATTGGTCCAATTTTTCCAATTAAAAAAAAGGAAAACTTAAGGGGGGAAAAAACGGTTTCTTTTTCGTTGGCGCTGGGGAGGGGGAGCGCGCATGAGAGAGAGAGAGAGAGAGACTGCGCCGCCGAGGTCTGCGTAACACAGTCACTCTCTCTCTCTCTCTCTCTCTCTCTCTCTCTCTCTCTCTCTCTCTCTCTCTCTCTCTCTCTCTCTCTCTCTCT